GAGTGTAAAAATTGCCGTAGATAGCAGGCCTCAAGGGCCCACAGCCTCAAACAGCTGCTATGAACTGTTTGTGCTTTGTAGCAAGTTTCATTGTGGGGCTGGTGCTTTAATTCATTCCTTTATTTGATTCCTTGCAGTATAAAGTGAGCAGAATGCGTTAGTTGGTGTTTGTTCCCTTGGTGGGTGCCTGATTTATAAGGTTCAGAGGTAAAGTCGTGTGGAAAAAGCATGTTTTACCCTCCCTGCCATCACTCTCCCAAATGAGGAAGGTCTCCTGAAGCTAGATTGTGAAGCAGTATTTTAAAGCCCACCGAATGTCTTTGACCCCCCTTCCTCACCCATGCACATTGTCTTCTCAATACAGGCTGGCTGGTGCTCAGCAGTCAGCAGCATAGCCCGTATATTCAGAAGGCCTGAATCAACCCCTCTAAATGATGGTGAAATTAAAAAATAACACTGAAAATTAATATAACATGATATTGTGAGAGTGCTTTTTCTGTCTCCTCTCTCTCTCTTTTTTTTCCTTAAAAATGCTCCTGCTCTCTAGAGCACGTGTCTGTGAGACATCATATACCACTTTCCAAAATTTCAACTTATCTTGGATTCTAGTGTAGGTCATCTGCCTTTCATAGCTGCCTCTCCTCTTACCTGGCAACCCCCAAAGAAGTCTTGTCCTTCCACTCCCTCACTACTTGCAAGTTTTCGTCTCCTCTGCTTAACATATAAATAACATCGGCTCTAGTCATCATGTTGGTCCCAGGGTCTTCAGCTCTTCTCAGGTTTCATAATAGCAGGAGCATGTTGTTTCTTTCTTCTTACTGGTTTTAGAATGGAGGCGAGAACAAGGATATACAGAGCAGATAAGGAATATGAAGGAGAAAGAACGACTGCTGGGCTCCTTCTACTTTTTTTGTCCCCCTCTATGGTTGCCTATGAAAAATACGTTATATCTTAGTTTCGTTCAGCCCATTCAGTTTTCTGCTATTCCCCAAAAACAGGGAGGTTTCCACTGTGTCCCAGTTCCCTTGTTTTTAGAGCAGTGGTGTTTTGTGGTACCTGTAAAGTAGCTTCAGCCTCAGGCAAAACCACATACTTGTGAAGATGCCTGCTGAGTAGGCAGGATGGCAATACCAGTACTGGTACTAACTTCTTAGCTGATGCTTTGCACCTGTGAGTCCTGATAATGACCTGTGCTTGCACCTTAGTTAAAGGCAGGGGTTGAGAGAGTAGAGCTTGGAGCAAGCCAAGCTTTGCAGTGATTGAGGACGTTGTTCAGGCAGAGACTGTCACTGGTATCTGGTACCGTCAATACCTTGATCTGATGAACTCCAGTGTTTGCACCTGTGGGTGGGAACAGATTTATAAGGGTTTTGTGTGTCCTGTTTCAGTGGTGCATTGTTTTTTCTTTTTTTATTTACCCAGTTTGTAAAACCAGAGTGGCCCATGGAACCAACTCTCATGAGGTGAGTCAAAAAACTTTTGCAGTGTTATCCCCCTGCTTCCAGTCCCCCCATGGTGGTTTGGCTGGTGCTTACCGATCCTGGAGTAGGCAAAATGAGGGCTATGCCCAAGTGACTTCCCTTCCTCTGCCTCTCCCTCATGTTTAATTACACCATTATTTTTTCAGATTTATCTGAAATGAAGTTAAATATGACTTTAACCTCTTGACATGGAATTTCTTTCTAGCAGTTTCTAGCTTCTGTCATCTAGTTACTTCTAGCAGTTTGTAGTCTCCAGTCAGCTCTGTCTGCACGGAATCTCATTCAGCCTCTCCTTTGGTGGGAGATCACACTAAGTGATGTTTCCACCCCACCATGTTTCTCTTCCAACATGTATGTGGTACAGGTGAGAAATGGTTTTGTGCTGCAGATGAAGCAGCTGGTTCCTCTCTTTGAGGAGAAAGGAATAGCAAATAGAGATGGTTTCCAGGCATGTTCAGTTGTAATAACACAGTTGGAGCTGTGGGGAGAACAGGGCTGGTAGAACTATCTGCCTTCCCGTAAGGCAATTGCAGTTAAAATGGTTATGTATTCCTGGAAGGAGTGCATTCCCTATGAGCCTAACTTTGTCTAAATTTAAGCGAGTTGAGTCCTGTTTTAATTCTTTTCCATTTGTGCTTCCTGCCTTCCTGCTTACCACAGCTCAGTTTTGAGAATCCAGCCCTTGCTGCTGGCTCTCTAATGCCTGGCTTCCTTTGTTAACAACATGGTTGTCGGTCCAGGTTTCCCAGCTGCTCCTGAAACGTGCAGTATGTTGCTGCAGCGTCTCGGAGAGCTGAACGCCCTGATGTAAAATGTAAATCTAGATGAGCAGAATGCCTACAGCTGAAATCTTGAGTGACCAGCACTTCCTTTTAAAAATGCAGGAAGATTTTTCATGCAGGCCTTAGCTTGGATCATTTTACAAGCCAACAAACAGTCCTGTTACTTTGCCAGAGCAGCCGCTATAAATTTTTGCTATCATTCCTGAGAACACTTTGGGGCTGGATTATTAATGAATTTAAGACTCCAGCTTCCCTGCTGATTTTTCTGTCAAGAGTTCCTCTGCAACTGCAACCTGAAATGCATGAACCTTTCAGTGCTTGTCCAGTCAGGCTTGCACTTCATTTCCCTGGTGAATCTTTCTTTGCTCTTCCATCATACGGTCCAGACATACCTCAGCCTCCTGCCAGACTTCCATTTTCTGAGCAAAAATTAGACTAAAATACAGTTGTAGGCTGCACTTTATCATGGGAACTTAGGACTAGAGCCTAGGAGGACCCCTGGAAAAAAGCCTAAAGTCTTGTGTGGTACTTTACATAGCTAATAGTAGTAGTCACTTTTGGAGTTGCTGAGTTCTCAGGAGTGATCCAAATGTGTATTTATGATCAGAGAGGAATTGTCTTGTAATTGCTATTTTATGGTCAATAATGGCAAGGGAAGCATAGAATAAATACTCTGCTTATAGTACAGCCTGTCTAAAAGATGGAGCATAGGTCTAGAAGCAAGAAATTGTTGCCTGTTTCATTAATGACTCCTTTGGCTTTTGGTAAATCGCTTCATTTTCTGTAGAGATATTCCCACTGCAGAGCTGACACTGGAACTAGAACACAGCCTGACCAGAACCCTGCTTTTGTTCATAAGATGACTATTCAGAAAGTTCAAGAGCTGGCTAACAGGCACAGCTGAAGGTGCAGGCTTGGGCTTGGGTTTGGTGCCAGCCAAGGCTAGCAGACTCTGCATTTTGCAGTGAGAACACGAGCTAGTTAAGCCAAGGTACTGTTAGTCTCTTGTGGTGTCCCACAGTTCTACATGGCCTCTGCATTAGAAGTTGCATCAGCCAGCTCAGCATTTGAACCCCACTTTGCCAGCCCCATTTGTTAGACTTGAACAGAGTTGATGCCTGAAGGTTGTCATTCCTGGCTGCCGGCAGGTCAGAACATATCTGACCTTTGGTAAAGGTGCCCTGAGACATCACTGAGACCCATAACCTGAAGAAATGTGTCCAGAATAACTGTTTTTCTAAGTGTCAAGCAGACAGGAATGAAAAGGCAGAGAATCACTGTGGTTTTTGAGACTGAATTCCTTAAGGGCATGTCAGTAAAAATTCTTGGTGCCAAATGTTTTGTTTTGCCTTCAAAAGAGCTCTGCATTTATAATGAGGAATGCTATTTGGAAATTATGATATAAAGTATTGTTCCCATGTTACTGCCAGACACAGCAGGTCTGTGCTAGATGACAAAGAGCAAGTGCACCCTGCAAGTGAATTCTTGGAGCTGTATTCATGCATGCTAAAATCCATGAGACATGGCAGTGAACCAGCATAATGCAACACCATGGGATCTATAGGGGTTGTGTGCTAGTCCTTGGGGCTGTTGGCACAGAGCTTTGCAGAAGAGAGTTTTCACATGGTTTCTGGTAGCCTAGGTCAGTTCTGTGCCAAGAAAATAAACTCTCTGGGTTTCCACACTTCTAAAATAGAGTGATAAGTACCTGCTCATCTTATGTTTGTTTGTGGGGATTAATTAACTAATATTTGAAGAGAACACTATAGGAACAGCACAGTTCTTGCCAGTATGATGATGTAGATACTGTAATGCCAACAGTCTACGCAGGAGGAAGAAGAGAGCAGTGTTTCTTGCCACCAGTGGGAGACAAATGAGATATGATGTTGTTGCTCTGCGTCATCTTGATGGACGATTCTGCTGGTTAGATAAGGTTTCTTGCACAGGTTGTTACTACTCACAAATTCACTCTGTGCTGCCAGATAGATAGCATCTAGTATAATAGAATCATATCAGCTGCAAGTAGGTATTGAATGCACGCATTGACTTGGATTCAGAAAATGTTGATCTACTGAGTCATTGTGCATGCGTGCAGACAATTATGTGACCTAACGTGGTCTACCAGATAAGGAGGAATAAGGATTATTCCTTATAATCAGACTAAAAGCTCAGACTTTTAACTATGAATATGTAAGCATTACATCACTTACCATGGCTATGTTTTTGAACAACAAAACCTATTATATTTACTATTTTTATTACAGGAACAAACTAAGGTGTTAGCAAAAATTCAGTCTGAAAGTATAGCATATATCAAATGAGCAATCCTTCTAGTGACCCTGACTTCACTGAGACACAGGTAATGTCAGAAAGCACAAAAACTAACGGGAAGCATACGGGAAGAGCGCACAAGCAGTATAACCCATCTGCACCATGCTGAGGCAGGAAGCTCCAATTTTTTTCTGTATATTGCTGTGGAGTCACTGTGGGACCCAGAGGCATTCTCTTAGCCTCTCTGGACTGTCTTGCATCCTGAATAAAACACTAGGCCCAAGCAGGCCAGTGAGAAAATATTAACAGGCATAAGAAAAAACTTGTCTTTCTGAGCTTAGGAACTTTCCTGGTAAGTGTTGTGCATCCTGCACTGACTGAGGTATAACAGAATGGTCAGGGTTGGAAGGGACCTTTGGAGATCATCTCATCCAACCCCCCTGCCAAAGCAGGGTCACCTACAGCAAGTTGCACAGGATTGCTTCCAGGCGGTTTTTGAATATCTCCAGAAAAGGAGACTCCACAACCTCTCTGGGCAGCCTGTTCCAGTGCTCTGCCACCCTCAAAGTAATAAAGTTCTTCCTGGTATTCAGATGGAACTTCCTGAGTTTCAGTTTGTGCCTTTTGCCCCTTAATCTGTTGCTGGGCACCACTGAAAAGAGTCTGGCCCCATCCTCTTGACACCTACATGCCCTTAAGGTATTTGTAAGCATTGATGAGATCCCCTCTCAGTCTTCTCTAGGCTGAACAGACCCAGTTCCCTCAGCCTTTCCTTGTAAGGGAGATGCTCCGGTCCCCTCATCATCTTTGTTGCCCTCCGCCAGACTCTCTCCAGTAGTTCCTTGTCTTTCTTGAACTGGGGAGCCCAGAACTGGTAGGTGGCAGGCTCAGGACTTGGATGGTTAGCTGTTGTCTTCAAGGCTCTTCAGAGGGGGAAGGTGCTCTAACAAAGCGTCCTTATCTGTGGGAGAGAGTTTTGCCCAGAGGAAAGGAAGATAAAATGTATGTCAGGTTCTCAGTATTCACCTGACTACCAACATGCCTTGTTGCCACTGTGGATAACAAGGCCCAGCATCACTGAAGTAATGAGAAGAGGTCAACATTCAGATAACTAGAGCATAGCTTTTTCAGGGCTTTGAGGATGGAGAGAAGACCTTAAGCTTGTCATCACTGCTGTGTAGGGGCACACTGGTATAAGGTAATTTCATCACCAGAATGGTGCTTGCTGTTGGTTCTGCGTAGGAGCCATGGCAGCATCCATATGGTAACAACAAACCTGCAAAATGGGGCACCACAGTTGTGATAATTATATGTGCATGTAAGCATGGTAATGGAGGCATCAATGGAAAGAGCAATGTAACATGTGCTGAAGATATGCTGACTCGTCAAAGTACTTCGGTGCATCTGCCAGCATTGCTTCTGTGCTGTTTGAGGCAGCTGTTTGTCATTCAGGTCCATAAATGCCTTCCTTTTTGACATATTTGTTTCAGTCCCTTCAAGAGGACTATCCATTTGGAGTACTGGGGTGAAACCAAGCCAAGAAAATCATTAGGCTGGCATTTGCTAGAAGTAAGAACTACTGGAGTCTGAAAAAAGTTCTCTGATGATGTGGGTGAAACCCTGGTGCTTAGACCATTGCAACTGGACTGAACCAAACCATAGGAAATGGAGCTGTGGGAAAGAACTTGTATAATTAGTACACAGAGCTGTTCCTTTTGCTGTTCTCATGATACACACTTGTATTGAATACAGACTTTGTCATCTGTGTTGGTCAAAGGTTTTACCCTTTTGTTGTACCTGCAGTTCCAGTAGCTTCCCAACTAAAAGCAGCAAATGAAATTGCAAGGAACTGAGAAGAAAATGTTGATTGAAAATGAAAGCAACACTGCCAGTAGTGTTTGGAGAGTTGTGTATCAGTGAAATGAAATGTAATGAAATGAGACTAGTTGCTGAGAAGGAATTCACACCTGGTCAATAGATATCCACCAGTAGCTGTTCCCCCTCACTGCTAGTCAGGTGGTGGGTAAGCATGAAATTGTTGACAGACTTGTGCACAACTGTGTGTGCATGTTTCCAGATGGCGATCATCTTCAACCAGGAGGGCCTGAAAGCTGTTCGCCCCCCTTGCGTCATTCAGAGCTTCATCAATCACAATGCCGTGCTGTATAAAGTCTTCGTGGTCGGGGAATCCTACACGGTGGTGAAAAGGCCATCTTTAAAGAACTTCTCTGCAGGTATCTCAGGTACGTTGTGCAGATTTAAAAGGAAATGTCAGTTCTCAGAGCCTTGGCAGCAAACAGCTCAAAAGAAAAATATATTTGAAAAGGCTGCTGAAGTGAAGGCAGATGGTTCTTACACACCAGGTTTCCTCTTCTGTATTATTTCAGTAGGAAGGGAGATAACTCATCTGCTCTGGAATACATACGAGTGACATTTGTATAGTAAATATTTATGCAATGGTAACCTGAGTCTTACCTGTTAGAAACAGTGTTTTATGTCATGTGGAAAGGGGGAGAGGGAGAGAAATTCTCGAATTTCACAGTAAGTTCATGTGTCATTTGTTCCGGAGTTTGTTTATAAATGTACTTTGCAGAGAATTTCCTGGATTCCATCGTTTTAGAACTTCCTCTCCCTATTTTTACCTTGATTATGTATATGTGTTTAAATTAAAGATCACTTGTGCTCTCAGCTAAATGAACCTCTCTGTTCATATGAGGCCCAGTGTTGTAAACCTTGGTGGGAAGTATGCCTTGGTTTGTAGATACCAGCTGTGTTGGGGGGAAGGAGGAATGGATTTGTCCATGAGGACAGGGATCCTCCTGTATGTGACCAGAAAGCAGCACTTGGAGGGTTTTCGTTAAAGATTACTTAAATTTCCTCTGTGGAAAAAAAAGCTCATTTCCAGAGAAATGCATTCTGTGGCCGTCAGAAGCAAAAAGGAATTATCAGTGCGTGGATGGGAGTATGATCTGCCTGCAACTGGACAAATCCAGGAGTGGGGATGGGAGAAGGTATCAGACTAAAGGGGATGAATGAACAAGTGCCACTTTCTTGTCACTTTTCTTAGTGGTTTCTGCTGATCTTAGTATGTCCATGTATGCTTACCATTGCGTTCTGCACACAAATACGTATTTCGTTAGTATACATATAGTAGGATTCCAGTAAAAGTCCTTGTCTGTAGGTATGTATGCCTATATTTCCATTTAGGTCTGTTCTATGTCCCAATCAATTTAAGTGGGTCAGAATCTGTGTTCATATAAACTGTTAGGACAGTTGATCTATACTTTTGCTGGAAGGGAACGTTTTAAGGCATCTTTCTAAAAATGCCTTAGCTAATATCTCATCTGTTAGTGTAAGACTTAAAAGTTGTCTGGAAGCCCACATGAAAAAGTTTTGTGGGCAGATTAGAGTAAGTGTCTGGCTTTCTTACCCTCATTGGGAGAGTTTAAGGGGGCCATGCTACAGGCACCTGACTAAGCAGATCTGATGATTAAACAGATCTGGTAGCTGTGAGGCACTCTAGGAGCTGACTGTCTGAAAGTACAGGGCCTTTCTAAATGGGAGGAAAGGCAAGAAGAGTATACGGTGGTGTCAGACTGCAGAGTGGATTTGGGTTTGCTATTCACAGCTCCCCATCTTTATTCTATGTGGTGCTGTGGCTGCTCTTAAAGGTCCACTCAGAACAGCACAGCAGAAATACCCTCTTGCTGGTGCCACCTGCGTGCTGAGAGTTTGGTCTGGGTGTCGCCGTGCAGGTTGTCTGTACAATGCCATCAGTCTGCTGTGGTGGGAATCCCAAGGGGTGACTTGTGGTGGAGTTCTCCCCACCAATGAAACCTCTAGCACAGCGGGAGCGGGGAGGGAGGTGCTGGTACAATTCTCCCTGTGGTTTCCACTGTGGTACGTTAGGGGCTGCTGTCACCCCAGGGTGTCCCCTGCATTCCTGTGGTGCCTCCAAAAGGAGGGCAAGGCCTGACCATGAAATTTACTGCTTTCCTCCATGGTGACAGTGGCCTCCCCAGGTTCACAGGGATCTCAGCGTACCCTGGGTGCTGTTGATTTATTACCTGCAGTGAATGCAGCATCTCCCTTCTATCACACACCTTCCCATTGGAACTGTCACTTTGAGTATAGCGAATTAGTAGAAATTAATTTCATTATCTTACTGAACTTAGTTAATTGGCTCTGGTGAAAAAAAGGAAACCAATTTCTATTAACCCCATGCAGTTCTCTTTATCTGTGGTCCGAGGTCTGAAAACCGTGGGTGACCCGGCCGTGGGTCCCTGCCTGCCTGTGCAGGCAGCTAAGTGCCAGCAGGCAGGAGAGGTCCTGTGCTGGGGTGGGTGGTGGGGGACTGCCCGGTAGGGATCAAGACTAGATTCCCAGGGCTGCAGTGCCATCTGCTGTTCCTTGCACTAATCCTTTGGAAATTAAAATCTGGTATAAAGTTATTTATAACCTGCTTTTAATTCCAGACAGAGAATCAATATTTTTCAACAGCCACAATGTTTCAAAACCAGAATCCTCATCTGTCTTAACAGCAGTAAGTACACTTGGTCTTTTTTCCTCTAGCGCGGCTCAAAAACTATCTAGTTCCTTCTTATCGAGGCATTAGTAGCTCGTGACTCTCCTTCACAAGTTGTCTGCTTATGTGTTGCAGGCTGAGGTCTGTCTGGTACAACGAACCAGCATGACTGTGTCCCCCTCTGGTTTTCCTTACCGAGCTCTGGTGAGGAAGCACTGATGGAGCAGGGCTGTGCTGCTTGCCAGGCCTATACTCCCCGGAGCTAATCTAAGCAAAGGGAAGAAGGAGGTTCTGCATGCAAATACCTGACCTTTTCCTGTCCAGAGAGCTTAATAAGCAGAAATCATCCTTCTAGGACTCAGTTCTGTGAGGAAAGACAAATGGTGAAAATTCAAGCAGAGAAATTGCGTTGGGTAGGGCCACAGAGGGCCAGTAGCTGTCTGTGCTATGAGCACACCCGAGCTGTGACCGTGGGCCCATTTCTGCATGTCTTCCGAGTCCAGCCATGCCGGCATGCTGCACAGTTTCATGCTTGCATTGCCAGTCCTTTTAATAAGCTTTGCATGTATGAATCCCAACAAGTTCTTGGGCACTCAACTGCAGAGAAAGTCACTTTACAGGACTGGGTCCTTTCAGTCTCAATCTCCAGATTCTTTTCTATTTGAAAACTCTACTGGGGAGTAGTTTCATAGTCAGCAATGATTAAATTTTGTGTGCAACACTGATAGGCATGCTAAATATTAAATATTAAAACTGTAATTGTGTTAGTCATAAATCCCTTTATGGCTAAATTTACTTTCAGACTTAGAGACAGTATATGCTCCTGTAGTTTACCTGCCATCTCTCTCATACACATGTTCCATACGCACTTCTGTAGGCATAACAGCATACTTCTGCTGCATAGCATGTTGTTTAAAAAGTGGAGAAAATTACATCTTCCAGTCATAAGTAACCTGAGTTACTCATTATAATAAATGTTTATAGAGTAATCTATACATTAAAACCCACATAAAAGATATCCCCTTTGAATGACCCTCTGTCCTGAAGATAACAGCTGAGTGGTATTGTATGGCTCAGTTTAAACTAACAGCAGGAGTCTGTCTTAGCAGCTCTTTAACATAGGCCTTAATATACATTGAAATAACAGAATGTTATCCCGAATATTTGCAGCACAGGTTAAACATGCCAGCTGTATTTGCTTTTTTAAGGTATAGGTCTAGTACTTAAAATAGTGAGTCTGATTCTCCATTCATTCCTACACTGCTCTGTCTCTCGAGGAACTACACCAGTATGAAGAGGAAGAACTAGGTGCTTTAAAGCAGGTGAACTGCCAGTATAGGAAGGATTCTGAATTATGAAAGCAATTTCTCTTTGGCGTCTTTCTCTGTTTCATGCCACTGGTTCTCTGCAGTTAGATTTGGTGGATATAAGCCTGGAAACCTTTGAAAATCAATCTTTCCTCTAAAAAGACTGTTTCAGAGTCCCTTAGTAATGCATCTTTTTCCACTATAGCTGGATAAAATCGAAGGAGTATTTGAGCGGCCAAATGACGACGTCATCCGGGAAATCTCTAAGGCTCTGCGGCAAGCTCTGGGTGTTTCGCTCTTTGGAATTGATATCATCATTAACAATCAGACTGGGCAGCATGCGGTCATTGATATAAATGCATTCCCAGGTGAGAAAGGCCTTTCCACTCAAGCTTTTGTGGAGACTGTATAGTGTGTGCTTAGCGTGAAGTTTTACTGCTGGTGTGTCACATCATTGCTTCCCAGGTGGGGGACAGAAGAGCAGCAGCCACATTGTTCTGAGATCAGATACTGTTCAGTCTGGGAAGGGCAGAACCCTAATCTAGATATGGAATGTGCTACTGTAATATCAGCTCTTAGGAGATAGGGTGAAATTTTAGTGGCCAGCTGTAACATGTCTGTCATGTCCTTCCCTGCAAAGGGATGCCCAGGAACTGAAGCGTGGGACTGTGTGCTGGGACCTGGCCTTCGTTCTGAAGAAGAAAAGAAGAATAATAAATTCTATTTTAGGAGAACCTTTTAAGATTTATTTTTTTCCAGACTCTGTGCCATTAAAAGTGTTGAGGGGGTGGAAGCAGCAAGCTGTTCACTTGAAAATCTGTTCCCCACAAAAAGACAGTTGTGCACACAAGCAGCAGCGCCAGGAATCTGAAGAAGATGATAAAATTGTAGGTGCACAGAAGTTGCTGTATAGAGTTAAATATCCTTCCAGGTTCTCGTAAGTGCATCCTGGAGTAAAACAAGAGAATAGAGCATGTGAAAACAGGTAAATTTGTTCTCCACTTTTTTTAGTGCAGCATACATCTTGGAAACAACTAAACAATCTCCCTGACCAGTGGAATTGCTAAAAGGAGTTGTAAATGTGTATAAGGGGAGGCAGTAATGGTCTGTCACTTGTGCTAAATTCAGTAACCTGACACAGGAAAAGAATACGTCATCTCATTTGATTCTGTTGTGCATGAGGTTTTTCTCTTTGAGAATGTCTTCACATTACCTGAATAGTGAGGTTTGTTTCCAGAGACATACACAGGCTGTTACATAGTTTGTTTAACCTGTCATTAAAGACTTTGAGTTTTCAAAATGGCTGCAGTTATCTTTACATCTAGAGATCTTGCCCTGAGCCCCCAGTCTTACTCATCTTTCGATTCATGTCCTCAGTCCCACTACTGCCCTGTAGTGCCTTGCCTGTCTATCTCCACAGTGACTGGTTTTCTTTTAAAGCTCCAGCCCTGCTATTCTCAGGTCACTTTGCCGCTTGGTTCTAACATATGGTGTTGTTGCAATCTGCAGACTTACGAAAACGGTCTTTTGCCAAGAGCAGTGAAACAACCTAAGTTGAGTGTCACGTGGACCCATATCAGTTTTATGAATGGGATTACATTTCAGACACTGAGTCTTGGAGTCAGTGGTGCAGGACATTCTTTTGCAATCCTGCATCCTGCATTTTGGATTGGTGTTTTGGTTTTTTTTTTTTTTTTATTTGGTACTTTGCACAGACTGAAATTCTCCTTTTCTTGAAATGTTGAAAAGTCCAAATTGGGGAACAACTAGTGGCAAACTTAACTATTTAAAAAGGAATAACATCTTCTTGTTGTGGCAGAAGTTTGCAGAACTGCTGTCACCATTGTACTCTGCTGCTCTTCTACCCTAAGGCAATAGTTTTCAATATTCAGCCCCAAGTCTTGTATTTCAATCTGTATAATAATTGGTCTTGAAAGAGATATTGAATTAATAGACTGTTTTAGTCCTTGCAGGAGGCCTGAGAGCACAGGGAAGCTTCTTATGTACAGGTCCACATTGTGTCTCACACAGGAGTTTTTTGGTGGTGAACATGTGGGTAGTGAGGGTAGCTCCTGGCTTTATCACCGTGGAATAGGTTGAAAACCAGTTGGAGAAAGTCTAGAGAATAGCATATGGAAGAGAGAAGACTGCGGGCAGACAAAACTACCTTCAAAATTGTGAAAGGTAGCAGAACTGAGAGAGATGAGCTGCTCTCAAGGGCTGCTGAGGTCAGAGACGTAGCCATGGGGTAAAATAGAACAGAAGAGTTAATCTCAACACAGAATACTCTGTTGCCCAAAAGCATGTTCAGCCCCAGCAGCTGCATTTCCCTCCAAGGACCAGTGTGATTAAAGGCTGAGCAGCCTCAAGGGCTGGCTTCATTGATGGAGGCAGCACCTTGCTGATGAGAAGTTCAAATACAGCCCTGCCCAAATAAGTCACTGATGGGCTGTATCAGCAGTGGGATCTCACTGTTCCTGGCTCACTGCAGTCCCAGGAAGGGACTTTCCTTTGCTCCTCTTCCTCAAGTCATCCTATCCTGCAAGGGTTGCAGTAGAGCCAAACTGGAGCCAAGTTAGACACTTCAGGGACCTGCTACATTATCTCTGCACCACCGCTTTGGGGAAGGGAGGGGAAGAGGTGCCTTTTAAGGAGCATTCACAGCCTCTTTCATGGAGCTCAAGCTATAGCTTGGGGCCAGGCCTGACCAAAGCTTTGTCCAGCTGCTCAGAGGCTTGGCTTCCTTGTGTGCTGTCTTTTGTGTTTACCAGGCTTGAAGCTCATTTGAACCTGCCACTCCATGGATGTCATCTTGAGATTAGTTTAAGGTCCGAATTGACAACAGATGTTCATCTGTTATCTGCTCCATTAGCACCAGCAACTCTTCAAAAAGATTTTAAAGATAAAAGGCCTATTGTGTCTCCTGTTCTGTGGGAAACCACCAGGACTATATTTAGCAGTGTTTACCAGCTGAGATATTTAACTGTAGGCACAGTCACGTAGCATGTGGGTTTTACGTTTGTCTGACCTCAGATAACTGAGAGAAAAGGCTCCGCTCCACATAGCCTGCCGTCCGGTGGCTGTGGCGGAGCTCACCCAGCCCAAGCAGCAGCTTGTGCACAAGTTCTGCAGCCTGTCACCAGTATGAGGGAACTGCTAGTTCTATGTGCATATATGTGGTAGCTGGAAGCATCAGATCTGAACGTGCACTTTGTGTGTGTAAATACACTGCTGCAAATGCGGGACATGGGCTATCCATTTCCCGTTGCCCAAGGGAAGATGCAGAAAAGCAGAGAGTGTGCCAGATCAGGGAGAGTCTCCCAAAAATCAGGCAGGTAGCATCTCTAATGCTAGCTTAAAAATGCTCGTAGGCTTTTCTTGATTCCACAAAGCTCAGGGGGACAGGTACTTGTTTTCAGATGCATTGCTGGGTGGACATCCCTTCTATCCATGCTCAGCCAGAGGACTCTGGAGACTGTTTTCAACATCGCCAAATTCAGGCCTTTTGTAGACAGGCGTTTCCAAAATGGTTTCAGTGGGCAGTGCTAGGATAGTACCTGCTGGAGCATGATTCATGCAGCTTGTGCTTTGAGCTATGTAAAACTTACATCCTCCTACTGATGTCTTGTGTGACATGAACCTCGAATTCATTGCCAGTGTTTTCTGAAGGTGTAATTTTATCTGCCCTTCTTGGTTTCGTTATCATCACAGCATAGTGATGTCCCACAATTGCCTTTTTTGAGAGACCTGCAGCAGCAGCTAGTGAAGAGAGTGAGGCAATATTCATAGAATTTGCAGCCTTCTCCAGGTGTCCTGTAGCTCAAGAGTTGAGACACCCTGGTTCTCTTCCTCCCTTCCTTGTCTTCGTTTTTGACAAGTGTGTGACGTTTCTTCTGAGTGACTAGGCAGAGCTACTTGGGCCTTTCCACCCAGTGTGCAGAGGGCTCGCACAGAGGAAGCCTGCCTGATAATGTACAGCTTTCTTACACTGTAACATCTGCTATTTCAGGACTGAATAACTGGCCATCTTACTCCCATTAAATATTTAAAGCAACTTCTTTGTGAGTTTGCCAGGTGTTTTTCAGTGAGCAGACATGAAACACCCTAGGGTACTATGGATCTCCTCTCTGAATATTAAATCTGTTACTATGGAGATGGCTTATTCCCGGGGTGTTTGAAGCACTCTGAGTAGATTTAAAGGCTAATCCCATGGCTTTTACATACGCAAGAAAGCGTAACAAGCACCTCTGTCAGAGGTGGAGGTCTTGTTCTGGCTCCCATGACTGGCTGTAAAAGTCCTAGTTGCCCCCTGCCGACCAGTGGATTACTGTGTGGGGCACTGGGAACCCTGATGTTTTGAAATGGCCGGTTTGTTTGGTGAATCTGTTTAAGGGCCTTTGAGAAAGGAAAACTGGGAGCTGTTGTCTCGCATTGCTGATGTTTTGCGTGACTTGCTAAGTATCTAGGAGAATTGTGACCAAGTGCAATAAAATCCAAAACAATGTAGCAGCCTAAATAAGAGTTAACTGGTTAACGTGTGAGTTATAAACACACCACATTTATCTTAAGGTGAAGTTGTGATCTTACCTTATGTTTCTCAGGAAGCTGGGGTTTTATTGCCTAAGGAAGTTGGTCTTTACAGGAGGATGGAGATTAAAATTGAATTATTTATGGATCTAAGGGATTTTTCTGCTCTGTGATCACATCACTAAAAGTGTTTTAAAATGTGCATTTACTTTGTGGTCTCTGGTTCTGCTCTTGTGCTGCTGTGTGAATGTGTGCTATTCACATGGGACTTTTAAACTGTTACTTGTTGCTTCAGTTTCCTGTATTAATACCAGGTCACCTTCAGAATACTTTTATAGACATTTTAAAACAATCAGCCTATCCCATGAAATACACTGAATATCATATGTCACCTCTAAATACTAAATCAAATTGATAACAATTTTAGGTGGTGCAGTAGCAGTTAAGATCCATTTCAAGACATTGTACCGGTGTGTTGCATGTCTGGTTCCATTTTAAAATGAATGCAATGATAAAACTGTACCTGTACCAGAGTGTTTAAAATAGAACCAGAAATTCTGTATGCCTACTGCCACCCTTTATGCCACCAAAAATGTCATGTCTCTGGGTATTTGAGAAATAGTTTTAACCAGGAAACTTGTTGTTAAACTCTGCATTGTAAATTGATTTACACTGATTTATGTTTACGGTCCCTCAAGTGTTTTTCAGACATTGCTCATAGTGGGCAACATGTTTTAAGGGCCAAGTTAGGTTAGATTAGACAACCATCACATTGCTTCTTAGACAGTGGGAAACTGCCTTTTCCGTAAGGTATAAAACCAGCACCGCTGTCCTCTGATGTTTCCCTAACCTCATGGGGGTATTGCTGGGCAAATTGTAGGAAGGGTCCGTACTCTCAGAGGAACTCAGCATTAGAGCTACTTTCCATAGTAAACCTGGAAAGAGGATGGAAAAGATCAATGTTATACCACAGAGTTTGTAACTTAGGGAAAAACCTGGACTTGGCAACAAATGATAGAATATGCCTAAAATTATGTATACACATATATACTTGGGAGGAAAAAAACCCAGAAAATCAGAAAGGTGACAGTTTTTCTCATTGAACAAAAGTATTTTTGTAGCAAGTGTCTGTTTCTTTTTATGCTAATCTGCTTGTGCAGTTGCTTAAGATGGTGTCATAGAAAAGAAGCCTTTTTATTATCACTTGGAGGGCAAGGACAGCCCAAGAAATAAACTGGTAGAAGAAGACTTTCGAAGAACTTATGAAAATGACTTAATTAACTTTTTTTTTCTCCTCTCCTTCATTTTTTCTCTTTTCAGGTTACGAGGGTGTTTCTGAATTTTTCACAGATCTCCTGAACCACATAGCTGCTGTCCTGCAGGGTCAGGCACCTGAGGTGACCCAGCTAAACTGCAGCAAGCTCCTGGCAGAGCAGACCAGCGGGATCATGGACGAGCGGATATGCTGCGCTAGCACAGGCTGTCTCAGCGTCATGGGAAAAGACTCCTCCTGGATTGTGGAAAGTGAGACCAACAACTCAGTAAAACTGCAACACCAGAGACTAGGCTGCAACTCAGCAGTGTCCCCCAGCTTCCAGCAGCACTGTGTTGCTACATTGGCAACAAAAGCTTCTTCTCAATAACTTGCCAATGCCATGGACTGAGAAAAAGCCACAGGGATACAAACTGTGGTCCCAGAACCAGATCAGGCTGTAATAATACAATTGCGAAAAATGAAAAAAAAAGAAAAAAACCACACAAAAAACCCACAAAACAAAAAGCAAAATAAAATACTTCCGTTTGATTTAACCTGATTTGCTGAGGAAATGGGCTGAAAGGGGGAGGGCGAGAAAGTGATTCAGATCCATTTCATCAGATTCCAGTTGCAAATCTGTAGTGAGTTTACACACACATGGGTTTTAACACTAGTCCTTTCATTGTGGGAGGGTTGCTCTTTCATTTCTGTTGTTCTTTGTAATCACTGATGACCAGCATTTTAAAATCGGACCTCATGGTATCAAGATAATAATGTTGAAATGCAGTGTCTGAATGTAACAGTGCTAGAGATTTTTGCCTAAAATATTCCCTCTTCCCTTTTTCCAGGTAGGCCATTGCAAAAGAAAGCTGAGACAACTTCCTTATCACTAAACCAAATCTCTTGAAACATTGACCAGTCAAGATCTTGACAGGTAGCTTGCTGTGAAGCGGTGGCACTTTGAGTAGGACAGAGCAGACTGGTTGTTCAGGGTGCAGAACTGAGGCGAGCACCCCAGTTCCAGCTTTGCAGTTCTTCCCCCAGGCCTCATTGCTTCAGTCAAAAGCAGCTTCTAACCACACTTGCTAACAGTGACACGTTTGATCCAGACAAGGTGCCAATAGTTAGGTTGAGTGATTTAGTAAATTAAATATCATCCTTTCAATCACTTCCTAGTGGTGAAATCCTGTAAGAGTTTAATGGAAGCACCTCATCTCTTAGCAGAGAGTTTAATTCTGCCTCCATTGCACTTGTGAGGACTCTGGTACAGCTCTGCAAAAGCACGGTCAGAGCTGCACATTTTCATTGGAGCAGTACACCTGATCTGCTGATCCTAAGGGGTGACACAGTTGCTGCCTTCCATGGATCCATGCTGCTGTGCATTTTTTTTTCTTTTGCAAGTTAAATATAAGCAGAATTGTATACCTTTGTATGAGGTAGAAGTGCACGACAGCTCTAGCTTAGAGACCACATTCTTTTGTTGGAAGCTGCCAGGTGAGGCCGTGTGGTAATTTACAATAGTGCTTTATACTGTTTTTCAACTATAGCACAGCCAATTTGTATCTCTTGAGATACAAAGTAAACCTACAGTCTTCACCCTCTATTGCATTTTCTAGCATGGCAGCATCTTCTGCTGTTGAGGATTCCTGCAACTTTTGCCAGTTCTGAACACTAAACTGGAAATATCCAAGTCTGTCAGCGCTGAGAACGGAGACACTATTTTGGTAGACCTAGTGGCCTTCCCTCCCCTATATAAGCCCTAAAATGTGTTTAAGAGGGGTGATGTTGAGAAAATTTCCTTAGTTAAGCTCCTAGCTTGCAGATACGGGAATTTCTGTTTTTCTATAGCATATGCTCATAAAGCATCCATCACTGCAGCATTTAATACCAGTTTGGTTAGTATCATGGGTTAGATATCTACTCAAAAGGAAAGGATCTAGAGCTTAAAGCCCAGGTAGGCCATGGAGAGAGGATTAAACTGTGTAAAAGATGTCACCACCCTACCTGATGGTACCAGTCCTGGAGGGGAAAAAGTTTTGAAGAGTGTTGTGTAGCAATTCTTAGTGCAAACCGTTTTTTTCCTTAGGAGAGATTGGGTTTGTTCCCAAAATGCCATTCTTGGGAATTTCCTGTAGCTGGGATTGGATTTTCAAGGATGGTTTACACAAGAAAAGATTATTCCACCTCTAGAGGGGTTACTAACTTTAAGATATTTGTATAGGGACTGGAAGGACCTTATGAGTGTGGTATCTGTAAAATTCCAGGGTGCACATAAATGCAGCCAGCTTCCTCGACTATTGCAGACCAGTGCTGAGCTGGGCACGCTTCACAACCCTCGTGTGCTTTGAGGCTGCTGGATCACACGTCATCTGCAGCTTGCAGGTCTCGGGTGGTCGTGGTGTGAGTGAGTCAAGTGTACATAGGTTAGGGTTTATAAAAGTATTCATGATAGACCAAACCTTTCGTAAAGCCATGACTGAAATAAAATTGACATCTACAGTTTGGGGTTTGTTTTTGTTTGTTTAAAATAAGAAGTGTTTTTATGTTACATGTGTAACAAAAGATACCCTCAGGAAGGAACTTGCCAGTGCATATTTTTGTATGGTACTTTCTTGTAACCAGCTGGTGGAGTGTTTGTAGACTTGCCTTTTGCTCCCTTTATTACAATGGCTTGGGGTTTTGGGGTTTTTTTTTTGTTTTGATTTTTTTTATTGGGTGGTGGGGAAGAAGCAATGATGTTAAAACTGGGTTAGTAACTCAAGACCTTTCAAACTAAGTATGTTTACATGATTCTGAGTGTTGGATCCAATGGAAATGTCTGTATGCTGTTTCCTAGTTAGAACATCAAATAAGAATTTTATTTTCCTGGCTGCCTTCTGAATTTTGGTTGGCCTATTTTGCACTGCTTTATTTCTCCAAAATAAACTACTGAAATATAATTGTGCATTTTAAACTTGTTTACAAATGATTATTAGAAGTTTATTTTGTAATTCTCTGAAGGCTTGCAGAAATGCTATATTTAAATATTACTCCAGATCTTGGCATTAACTAGAAAACAAGTTTAGGTCATTGGTGTGATCAGTGACATTTTTCCCATAGTCTGTAATTTATTTTTTATTTATCAAATGTATCGGTATCACTTTAATTTACCAGGTGCAGATATGCAGGTACCTGTTGTGATGTGGCATTACAATAGAGTTTTCACATAAATTACCATGCAATTGCTGTACTACTATATTTCCTTGCAGAAATTATTGTTACAGCTCATATACTAGAATGTTGCTAAATCACAGGGGCAAATTGGGAGACCAGCTTTTAAAAGCCAAAACTGTAAATTACCAAGTATCCAGACATACAGTTACATTACTACAAAACATTCAAGCATGCATATGTTATTAAGCCTGTGCTAAAGTGCTTTTCTGAATTGCTGCCTCGTTTGGTAAGTTCAGGATAGTTCTGATTTAAGATAAACTTCGCAGTAAGATAGTTAATATTCTGTAGTCTTGTCTTTTTTTGTAAAAGTAGAGGAGTCTAGTAATATTAGACCATACCAGAATGCCCTTGCTCTTAAAATTGCGGACGATCTGAGGGAGATTTTCCATAGTGTCTGTTTGAATTCTGTTATTGTGGGTTAGAAAAGGTGCTGCTGTGTTTTCAGAGGCATAGCTATTATTGCTGTGTTGATGGGAGCTATTACATTAAAATTACATGGTCACCAGTTAGCTTCTTAGGAATCTATTTCTGTTCTGCTTCACTGTTAGAAATCCACAAGAACACCATTAACTTGACTGGAATTTCTCCAGGTTTTCTGTCAGCATGATGGAGGAGATGGGACTCTGGTTTCCACGGTAATTATGTAATGGACTTCAGTAGGTGAAAATTTTTCCCTGTTGAAGAGAACTTGAGTGGTATTGTTCCTGCCTGCGATGTAAAGCCATCACCATCCTCCTTCCCCTCTAGCTGACTTTGCTGCGTTCGCTTCGGTTTGTAATGATTGTACCAGAACCTCCTAATCGTTACGTAAAAACCAACTGCAGAAATGCAGCCTAACTAGGAGCACTGGTGCTGACATTGTGGTTTGTGTAATGTGGAACTACCACTGGGCTGATGCTATTTTGCCTTTGGTTAACCACATGTCACGCTATTCAACCTTTGTGCTCTACGAGCCGATTGACTGAGCTGGTCAGTAGATAGGATGCACTATTTTTATCAATACTACTCAGTCTGTTGGAGTGATAAAGCTGTTTAAAGATCTCCATCCTCAGCGTGGGAATGTTTGTGCAGAGGAGCTCCACAGCATGTTGTTCACATGGAAAACCACCAGTTTGATTTGTTTTCATTGTAGATGAGTGCAAATTAAGAACCCGACCCTGACGCTTCATGAGGCAACAAGGATTGCTCAAGGTAAAGCCTCAAGTTCTCCAGATTAACTGCGAGCTGTATCCAGCCAGGGAACAACCAGGTGGAGTAGTCGGTAGATAACAGAGTCAGGATACAGTCCAAAGGCAACAGAATAAATGGGACCAGAGGTGTTTGAATTGGCTGGCAAACAATAGCAAAACAAAGCAAAAATGCTTCTGTTGTTTCTACCCAATAAAAATAAAATCCAGGCTTATCAGTTCTTAGACTAACATTGGTTTCCCGAAGTCTTTACGTGGCAGCAGTGACAAGTGAGTCAGGCTTTTTCCCACTAGCTTGCAGCCTTGCCTTCCAAAGCTGTGCAGAAAGTCTTGGGTTTTGGTTTTAGTGAGTAGAGTCTATTTTGAGTTTGTAGCAGTCTCCCCATGTGCAGCACACTTGCAGGAGTTCACTTGCATAACCCTGCCAATTTTCTTTTCCTCTCTCCTTTTCAGTAAGAGATTTATTGATTTCTGTATTCAGTATACAATTATTTTATGGTGTTGCAACTGTGTGTTTTGTAATTACGAGTATGTGGAAATGCTTTGTATAGATTAAAATATTTCCTTTAATATAATCTCTTCTCGCTTGCATAGATAAATGGACACACCGTTGCAGATCACAGTGATGATTTGATTTGTAATATTGCTTTAATATCTGTTTCAGAGGAATGTAACCTCCAGAAAAGTACTTTTCACATCTTCACTACCTTTCCTTTCTCTGTTCACTCTGTGTGGATCCAGGCCATCAACACTTGAGCTTTTGAGCAGGTGGGTTTCAGAGCCTCCATGGATTCTGTCATGTTTGCATGGCCACAAAAATTATTAAAAATGATTGAAGTTTGAGAGGATCCAGGTATAAATGGAGGTGTTAGAGGGGTTCCTCAGCAACACAAGCACAGTAGCATCTGTAGCAAGCAAAGAGAATCGTTCTTGCTGTGTGCGTGCGGGTGGCTGTTGGGGTCTGGTCCACCCTTGCTGCTGGTGCAGTTTTCCTGTGGAAATAAAAAATCCATTGTAAGAAAATGTCCTGTATCTGTAATGCAGAAGGAGGGCAAGGAGAGGTAGGGTTTGGGAGTAAAATTCTGGCCAGTGGACATCATGATACCAGTGGTCCAGAATTTCACTCTTCTGTTTTTTAATAGCAATCTGGGGAGATGTTTTCTTTCTCTTCACCTTTCTTACCCTGAATCCACTGGGCCTGACGCTAGCAGATGCCTGTGGGCCACATGAGCTCATTAGCGGGTGACCTTGCCCAGCATGCCATGAGTTTGCAGAGGGCTCCTGATGTGTTGGGAAGTTTTTGTTGATGGCCTGGACATCTCTTGAAACTCGAAAAAGAGCTTAAACAGTGGATGGAGTTCATGAAAATCAGGTCTTCCTCTTTCATCCTTTTTAAGGAAACTTACATTTTATTTCCTCCTTTGTTCTTTACACAGTAGTTTTTAGATATAAATTATTTTAGCATTTTTTGTGTGAAAACTCATATATACATATATAAAGTTATTAAAAGGTTGAGTATATGTTGAGTATAAAATAGTGACTTTGTTTCAGATGTTAGCAGCCCCTAAAAATGAGTTGTTTATCCTCTTGTAAAGTCAGTGCTGTAAAAAAATATTAAAAATAAAAGATGTATTAGATGTATCTTTTATTATTTATTTCTGATTCAGTATTTGATACAGCTTGTGTATACCCTTGTGAGAACCACATACTAAAATGCAGTCGTTCTTAAAATGGAGTAACAACAATTCCTTGGAATCCCAACGATTTTGAGAAAACTGGCCAGGTGTGAATAGTGTTGGATATTCTCCTTCACTCTTCAGCATTGCTCCCCACCTAAGCATGGCTGAATCTTGGGGACCATTTTGTGTGTGTGCTAGGTTTTGCAAGTTCATCAATATTTGTGTTCAAATCCAGCTGTACAGTGTTAACAAGTGTGTCTTGTGAGTCACTTCAGCCCAGTTCACTATGATTTCTGGAACATAATTCCCATTTTGTACTTAAATTTGTATAGAATTATATAAACCCTTAAAAGATCATGGCTTGCTATAAAAATGAAAAATACTTGCTATTTGGCGTCTTCAGTTGTGTGACTGATCAGATCTCACAATGAAGATGGTGCTTTCATCTAACAGCATTGATTTCAATGGTAATATATTAATTTAATTTTCATTTGCCAAGCACCTATTTTGGACAATGTTTTGGTTTCAACAGTAAAGCAATATGCAGTAGGTATTGTGGCATTATCTCTGTAATTGTTTTGAAGACAGAATTGTCCCTTTCAACACATAATGAAAATAAATGCCTTATAACAAGTTCTACTTTGCTTTCTCTTTATGAGCAGATAGGGCAGCGAGGTGAGCAGCTTGTTGGGGGAAGCCCGTTTTCATGAGAATTTGGTTTTCACATCCTTCCCCAGTGCAGTTGTTTGGACCTCCTTGTACCAGCAAGATTTGATTTGATTTCTCTTCTAACACTAGTGGGAAGTCGGCTATTTTTACCTTGCTATGTAACACAGCTAAACATCACTGGGATTTAGGCTACTCCTGTACTTAAGCATTTCTTCCTAGTGCAGGCTTCTGGGCTGATTCTTCCTTCATCATCCTGGATAGAGAATTCTTGGATTTCTCAAAACCTAGCAGGATTTTTAATCGGGACCATCTTTTGGCTAATGCAGGAAAGACAGGTATCTCAGCATTAAATTTTGCTAAGCAACAAGCACTCTCAGCAAGGGCACTTATGTAAACACTGCCTGGGGATCAGCACCTGGTGTCAGCCCCAAGGCCAAGCCCTGCAGGGTGAGTTGGGAGACGCCACAGAGCAGAGGTACCACCAGTCGGAGGTCCAGCACTTACCAGCTGGTGGGGCATCTTCCCAGGCCCAGTGCTCAGGCCTTGAACTCTGTCTCTCTCTTTGAAGAAAGTCCTTGGGTCCAAGATGTTTGTAATTACTTGAATATCCAGTTAAGAAAGTATTTATAGTAGCTGCATCAAGTAATGTTATTTTTCCCCTTGTTGATTTTGCAGCGGCAATAGACAAGTTTTGTCTGCTGCCCGCCATCCTTTGTGGAAAAACTTGTCTAACTCCTTTGGAGGTGGCTATGTTTCTATGGTGGGTTGTTTGGTTTCTTGGGTTTGGGGTTGGTTTTGTTTTTGCGGAGGCGGGGTGGGTGGCTGAGGGTTTCTGTGAATTTATTGTGACATGTAGACGTGAGTTCGCAAGGGGTTGTATGGGTGATGCTACCGGTAAAGACTCTGCCACAAAAAAAAAAAAGAAAAAGAGAAACTAAATTTGATGTTCAAATTAAAATTTGAATGAAGGTCAGTATGTAAAATGTGACTTTTGCAGCTGGATTAACTCCCTAATAACTGACATTTTAGTAGTGTTTCTGTGGAACATCTTTGGTTTCACTTCTGTTCCGACACACGTTTCCCTGAGGTTAATGAGAGTGTGATCTCCTCAGGACGGGATTGGGAGACTTGCACGTGGCTCTGGTGCACTTTCCCCAGCCAGGCTCTCACCCTGTGCCTTGTCCTGGCTTGCGCTGCGTGCCAGGGCAGCTTTCAGGCCGTGCCTCGGCCTCGCCACATCCTCCTGCCATTGTACGGCTGCCCAGGGCTGGGGGCAAGGGGCACTGCTCCCTCAGCTGCTCCTCCAGCCCTCCCTGGGGAAGTTCACCTGGTGGGTGGAGGACAGCTCTGGACACCTAGCGCTGCCTGCGCTGAGGGGACCCCACGCGCCCACCTCCAGTGCAATTCACTCTATGGACCAACAGCGCTGATGCAGAATAAAGGAATATGTCGAGTTCAGAGCCTGGCAGCCATTCCCTGAGCATCTCAGCTGTTCTGCAGATGGTGGGAGACAACTGAGCTTTGAACTGGGGGGTGGGATGCAGCCCTGGCAGTGGGATGCTCTTTTCCCCTCCTGCCGACACACACAGAAAGTCTAAAACCTTATGATTGGCGTTCAGAGACTTTTAGGGCAAGCTTCCCCAGCCCAGGCACTACCCGGTCCTGCAGCTGATGTGTGGCCCCGCCATGGCCCCTGCGAGCCAACGCACAGGAGGGACATCCCCTCAGGACTGGCCTTCACCTCTGGGGGAACACAGACCAGTTGTTTTCCTCATGACAAGGCTATTTGTTACTTTTTGGAGTTTTTTAACCCACTCGTGCGTTGTCCAAATAGCTCGACTTGGTCAAGTATTGTCCCAGTGTTCTAAACTGTTTTCTCTCTGGTCAACCAGTGAACTGTGGATGTGACCCACATCTCACTGAAGCACCCAGGACACCCAGCGCCGAGGCTGGGCTGTATGGCACTGCTGGCCCCGGGCAGCCATGGAGAGCCCCACAGTGCTCAGGACCTCAGGGAGGTGGCCTCGATGCTGGGCCTCAGCAGGCAGCAGCGTTACAGCCCCAGTAAGGAGGGAAACGCCATCACAATGTGTCTGTGGTGAGGGGAGGCCTCCATTCCCCCTCCTCTGCACCAGGACCATGCAAGCCCCGCAGCATGCTGATGGCCGAGACTGAAGCTTCCAAAACAAAGGAAGGAACCCACTGCAGTTTTATTTTTCCTTAGATAAATTTTTTATATAGAATATATTACAGTCAGAGTTCTCAGCTTTTAATCAAAAGATAACAAGTTATTGCAGTTTTTTACCCAGTGAAACTACCGGTGGAAGGAGGACTTTCTAGAAAGCTGTCTTGTCTTTAAAAAAACAAGAGGGGAAAAAACCCCACCCAGACAGAAAATACACATGTAGGTTGCTCTTCGCGCCCACCGGTGCCCGGCCGGGCGGGTGGGCATTTGTGTGGATAGAGGAGCATGAGGTGAAGAAGCGGCGATGGGCACAACACTATGGCGAGGGAGGCAGGCCTGGGTGCTAGCAAGGTCGGTTTCCTAGGCACAATGCTTCTGCTCCGGCTTAATTGCTTTTAATTTAGGAAATGAAAACGCGGTGGAGAGGGAGGAGGGCGGCGGCGGTGGCTTCCGCCTGTGTGAGGAGGGCTGGGGCCCTCAGCCTCGCCTCAGCTCGTGCAGCTTGTGAGCGACGCGCTCCAGCTCAGCCTCGATGGCAGCCAGGCTCTCCAGCTCCTGGTCCTGCAATGAAAGCCCAGGACTAGGTGGGCAGCCCTCGCCCCCCAGAGCTATGGAAAGCCTTGCCCAGGGGCTAGCTGCCAGTGGTGGCACAAGCACGGCTGCGTCTTACCCCATCCCCTCAGCCCACTCCTGCATTTGCCGCTCTGGAGAGATGTCTATGTGCAACACTAATTAGTCCTGTCCTAATGTTAAGTCTTTGCAGCTGGTGATGGGGTCAAGACAGGCAACTACCAGCTTCTTGAGCCCCGCTGCTTGGCCGGGCAGTCTCCGATGGCTGCTGGGGAGCCAGGGCTGGGGCGGGCGCTGCCAAACGGCACTGGGTGTCTGTGTCGAGGCAGTGGTGTCAAACCAGGATGGGCACAGGTGCCTGCCACCTGAGGCAAGTGCAGCATGTGCCCTGCTCATGGAGGGGACGGCAGTGTCCCCTCTCCCTGCGCTGTGCTCGGTGTCCATGTGCACCTCCAGTACTGGAAGAGGCTTTTCCATTTGGGAAAGTAGTGAGTGAGGAAGCCATCAGTTTAAAGGTTCAAGCTGCCCATCACTTTGTGGCCTTTCTACAGTGGCTCTTGTGTATCTATGCCATCACCCGAAGCTGTCTTATTTAGCACAGGTACTGAAATTTGTAACTGCGTGGCTTTGCCAGAACTCCGGTCATACGCAACTGGCCCTGTCTCACTGCCAGCCCCAGCCCTGCCTGCCCCTCACAACTGCTGTCACCTGGGGCTTGCTGCACATCATGCGCTCATCCAGCACAGCAGCAGGCTCTGCGGGAGCAAACTTGAGGCTGTCGGTGACAAAAGTGCCTTTTCCTGTCAGCAGAGCTGAGGTGACAGCCCCTCTCCCGTGCGGAAGGAGCAGAGCCTTGCCGCTACCTGCAGCAGCTGCCAAGCACAGGCTGATGCTGAGCCACTGGCCTGCACTGCATGCGGCTGGTGTGAAAAAAATGAAATTATGTAAAAAAAAAAAAAAAGATAATTTTTCTCATCCCTGAGCTATTTTACTGAACAGGGAAAAAGTCACTCTGCCTCTCTGCAGGGCCCTGGGCTCAGCCCCTGGGAAGGCTCTAGCGACAGCAGCTTGTCAGTAGCTCAGGGTGCCCACCGGTGCTCGGGGGAGCAAAACTGAGCAGCCGTTCCAGTGTGTTTTGTTTGAAGCAGGTCAGGGAGCAGCTGGCTGAGGCATGCCTAGCTGGAGGAGAGCTTTGGCTGCAACTGAAGCCCCCAGAAAATAAGAAAATAGTGCTGTGCTGAGATCCTCCGCACCACCTGAAACGAGGAGAGGTCAGACCCAAACCACTGCCTTGTGCTGTGCCCATGTGCCCTGGCTTGCTCCTGCCTGGCCCCGCACGCTGAGCCCTGGTGAGTGCAGGGGACAGCACTCTCAGTCTCCAGCTGTGCCCACACCGGGCTCACTGGCCAAGCCGTGTGGCCACATGTCCCAGAACTGAGTAGAGCGGACAGGATGGCAGCAGCTCTAGCAGTGCCAGAGCCAGTGCCTTCCCTTCCCTCACTGCTGGGTGCCTGATCTGATGCCTCCTCACTGACTCCCAGGGCCCCTGATCTAGTTTAAGAAAAAACAAACCCAAAAGTCTTGTTGCAACTGTAAACATAGCAGTTTTGCAGCCTCAGCAACTTCCTTCCCAGTCCCCGTTTAGAGGTTGAGCCCACCACCTTGCAGACAAGGTGTACCCCAGAGCTGCTGGCAGGGGCAGGTGAAGAGCAGCCTTCTTGGGGGAGAGACTTGGGACATGAGTAGACGCTGGTGAGGAGGCAGATGGGGCAGGTGCTCACCTCCTTGCAGGCATCCGCTTCATACCTGCTCAGACCTGAGATGTTTGGCTTTGCTTTGAACCAACATAGCTGGAGATGCCCTCTCAGTGGGGGATGCTGATGGGCAACCTTTGGGCAATGTTTTGGTGCACAACGAAGGCAAGAGGGGTGTTTTGGAGGCAAGAGAGCTGCAGCAAACTGGCTTCACTCACTTGCTGCTCCAATCTCTACCCAGGCACCTGATCGTGGCTTATCCCAGAGCAAGCACTCGCAGAGCCCATGCCCAGCCCCACTGTCCAGCCCCTTCCACTATCCCAAATAAACATCCATGCCTGGAGCTAAGCCTCGGCACAAAGGTGAAACCACCACTCCAGGCTGCCAGGGAGGTGCTGAGTTACCACATAGCATCATGTAAGGTACCAGGGAAGTAGGTCTCTGACTTTGAAAGCCTGGTGCAGGCATATTCCCATATCTGTCAACCATTTCCACTCCAGTGCTGCAGCTCTCTCACCACAGGTGTGCCCCTGGTTTACCTCTGTAGGAGGTCTGACACTAGTCACCCTGTCCCTGAGCTAGGGAAAGCATTCCCTTTGTCTTGGAGGGGCTTTGGGACACAAGACCCACCCTCAGGCTCCAGATATAGGGCTGGTCACCATGTCCAGCACAGAAGTCCTGTTGCATTTTTAAGACTCTTTGGGGCAGGGTGGGGTTTTTTTGCACTGGTCATTAAAACAAGGATAAAACCCAAAGGCACAGCCAGGTGCAAATCTCAATAATACCTTGGGCTGAATGACTAAAAGGTCACCAAGCATCTCCTTAATGTCACAGAGAACAGATGCTGGCTGCATAACACCAAGGTACTATCCACATTCCCAAGTATTAATCAGGTGGGATTTATTCTTCAGCCTATGTACACCAACCTCTGTTCTCCTGTTAGCGCTGCCTTCCTCATCCTTCTTTTCTTCGGGCATGGGACCAAGCGGGAAGCCTCCTTCACTGCTGTCCTCCTTCGAGTGATGCTTCCATGACCTTCTCACATCTTCCTCTGGACTACTGAAGTCATACTTGCGGGATCTAAATGCCATTTTCATGGACCTGTCTGGGTCTTCCTCACTATCGTTTTCCTCCATGCGCTTCTTTGATGTCAGCTGCTTGGCCAGCTCATCCATTTTATTCCACCTCTTGGAGTCTTCCCACTCCCTGGAGGACTCTCCCTCCATCTCCTCGCTTTTGGCATCCCTGGGCTGGAAGGTGTCTTCCTCCCCCTGCATCCCTGCATCCTCCAGGTGATGCCTTCCTCCTCTCAATGACCGGGGCTGCTCTTCCTCCTCCTCCTCCTCAGAGCTCCGCCCATCTTTGCCAAATCCCAGAGCATCATCATTATCTGAAAGAGCATTAGACACAACAGTGAGTACAAGTGTTAACCTGCTTACGTTCCACCTTTGAAGTGAGCCTTCAGGGGCGATGCAAGGTGAGTTTCCTGACTTAGGCCCATTTTCCCACGATTCCGGAAATACCCAGTCTCACATCACTATGTCAGTAACAGAGCTTGGAGGCAGCAGTCAAAAACCACATAGGAAGTTCAAGAAAAAGAAATTAGTTGTCCCTAAGTGCTATGAAAACTGAGCAGCAGGCAGCAAGGCAGCTGCGGGGCCTGTGTTACCCACTGTGCATGGGCCCATGTGGTCGGGTGCTCGCGGGGGGGTCTGGGTGGCTGTCGGCAGGGGTATTTCTGTAAACCTGGTAAGTACCTTCCTGAACTTTTAGGCTTTAAAGCCGCTTATCCATCTGCCTTGGTGCTCTCAGCTCACCCTGTGAGGTATCAGTGCAGTCATCTGGGATACGTACTATCATCTCCCTGCATCTCCTCAGCCTCCTCATCCTCCTCAGCCAAGTCAAGTGACCTCTCTGCTTCGGTAGGGTCCTCCTCTGCAGCATCGTCTCCTCCGTCATCCTCCCGCTCCACACGCTCCTCTGCCACCTCCTTGCTCTGCTCCTGGCCCAGCCTGGATGACTGCTCTTGCTCGTCCTTGAGCTCCAGGCTGTCCCTGGAGCCTCCGGGCTTCTCCTCTTCATCCTCTCGCTGCTGCTGCTCATCCTCGCTGAAGTCTTTGCTAATGTGGTTGTCGAAAGCTTCATCTCGCTGAGCATCCTCTGTGTCCCTGATCTCGTTGCTCTCTGCTTCCTCCTGATCCTCCTTCTTGCCAGGGTTGGCATCCCGTGGCCAGGACTCCCTCTCCTCCAGGCTGTTTTTTCCCTCCGAATCTTCATTTTGCTGGATTTTCTGTGCTGGCAGCTCAGCCAGGGACCCTGTGGGCTGCTCCTCTTCAGGGTGCTCCCTTGCTGCATCTGCAGAGGGAGGAGCAAGAAGCAACACCTCTTCTGAGAGCTCATTTCACAACCAGCAAAGCCCATGCGTTTCTTAGGGAGCTTCAGCCCCACTCAGCAATCTGTTTAACCAGCCCATGGATCCTTTCACAAGTCACTTCAACATATGCTTGCGTTCAAGCAAGCCGGTGCTCTCACTGGTGTGTGCTCACGTGGAGAGACTCACAAGGCTGAAGTTAAACATATGCCGAAGTGCTTTGCTGCAGCACGGTCCTCATCACCATTTCTTGAGATGCCGGCAAGAAGCTTGCCCGGCATGAAACCAAATGCCATGTAAAATGAAATTATTTAGGAGTGTAATACAGCACTTGTGCAGCTCTCCCTGCTCCAAGTGCTGCGCTAACATCCATTCCTTATTTCTCCCACCAGGCTGAAGAGGCAGCCAGCGCTGTTTGTAGGCAGCCAGAGGGAGGGGGGCCGGATCTGCTTCTGCAAAGCAGCTACTCAGCAGGAGCTTAATGTAGGCTGGGTATTTGCTCTTGCTCATGTCAGAGACTGGCCTCTTTTAACGTAATTAGCCATAGAAATCACTTTGCAAAAGAAAAGATGGGGGGGAGGGCTAAAGAGCAGTGGGAAAAGCCAGATAAGTATGGAAAGGCGAACACAGCCCCAAGCAGGACTGAGGAGTGTGCTCAGCTGAGGGGATGCAGAGAGCCGGTCATGCAGGGCTGGTGACCTCCAGTGACACCACACTGGTGTCACTGGGCTGCCTGCGAGCCTGGACAGCCCAATGTGCCATGCTTCATCCTTATACAGTCTCCACACTGGTGGAGCAAGAGGTTCATGTCTGCCTTGGCGGGAGGGAGACCCAGTGCCACCCATCCTCTCCATTGGATTTTGGCCATGCTGGCTGCAGCAGCAGTACCCGGCGGTATCGCTTCTCATCCCTTGGGGCAGCTTTGAGCTCATGTCGTGGCATCACTGCGCTGCCGTGGCTCAGCCATGTGCCCTAGAGCCTGCTCGAGACCCTCTGGGGGGGAGCTGCTGCTGGACAAGAAATTGTCTCACTCCACATTGGCATTGTCTTCTCCTGATGTGGAAAAGGGGCTGAACCCTCCTTTCTACTACACTGCCGGTCTCTAGCCAGGCCATAGAAACGTATTGACAGGGGGAAATCGCAGCTGAATGTGGTCTTTCAAAGATGCAGTTGTTTTGTGTGGGTGTGTGCACTGTGTGTATCCCAAGTTCAATTTTCCCTTCAGAGACCCGTAACCAGTACCTTGGATTCCTGGAAACAAGGGCAGCAGGAGCAGACCCAGATCGCTCTTGCCTGTATCACTGAGTCTTTCAGTACAGGATTTCCCTGGCTGTGACTCATTTTAAGCATTAGGAATGAGTGATGGTGTTGGCAGCAGGGTGGAAAAGTTTGGTATCAGTTTGGTAACTTGACCATCACCAGTTACTATAGCTCGGAAATTGCACGTTGTTTAAGCTAGTAAATAAGAACAAAGCAAACACCAGGTTGCTTGTGTGCATCAGTGGCAGTATCAAAGAAGCAGCCTAAATGAGAAACAGATGGACATATCAAGGCTGTTTGTTAGAAAGAACATCCTTGTTTACAGCCTGACTTGGACACTGACCTCTCTGCTTGTTCTTGTTGTTCTGATTTTCAAGGACTTCGGAAAGTTCATCTTCAAAGCCACTGTTTTTCTTCTGCTGCTGAGTTCTCTCACTGGCACCTGCATCAAGTAACAAAAAGCAGGGAAAGGCAACAACCCCTCCTGTGTTTCAGAAAGCAGAGGTAGGAAAAGAGTTCTGTGCCCTTGGTAATTATATCTATATTTTCTACAACGGACGAATCTGCCAAAGGGGATCTGCGAGGAGAAGTGAGACTGGAGGATACGTGAATCAAATGCAGTAACAAAGCCACCATCAAAAACGTCATCTGCAGGACAGAAAAAGGTCTCTAAACAAACAGAGAAGCAGGGGTACTAGGAAAACTAATATTGATGGAGAGCTAGGGAATAAGAGATGTTGAACTGAAGCACACCGAGGCCAACAAAAGACTTAAGCATCAGAGTGCTGAAGGATAAAAATTGCCTCCTGCCAGATGCTGCCCACATACCTCTGTTGAGGTGAGCACTGAGAGCCCCTGTGCTCTCCGGTTGTGGGGACCCCTCTCCCCAGGGTGCTGGGAGGAAGAAGCAGCATTCATTCCCACTCTGGGAATAGTCCAGGACTCCAAGGCCCCACATAATCCCCCAGGCCTCTGGGATTATGGAGCCAGGCTGACAAAAGCAACACCTTGGAGAAAAGTGTCTGAAGGCAGCATGAACTGGAGGTCAGAGCACAGCCGTCCTGGCAACCAGCGCTCCCCAGGCAGCCCCAACGGGATCTGCAAGCCAAGCAAGCTCTGTCTAACCCAGCTCACGCCCTGCTTCTATGCCTTAGTGCAAAGGCAAGAGCAAACACTGCCAGCCCAGTCCTCTCTAGCCCTGCACTGGGCAGAGCTGGATGGTGTGGGCTCTCCAGACTGAGAAGGACCAGCTGCAGCCAGCACAGAGGAGATGAAGATAAAAACCTTTGCTTTTCCCTTGGGCTACATGACTCTCCCACCCCCAGTCACTGTGATCTGTATCTTAGAGCTCATGTTACCATGGGACAAGATGGCGTGACAGGCTCAAGTCAAGGAAAGAGTAGAGCAAGATGCACCTCTGTGAAATGAGTTCCTTCACGTGGACTCCATGCTGTATGGCACAGCCCATCTGATAGCTGAGCACTACCTCTCACAACCCTGGTGTGCCTGGGCAGCAGTACCCCAGGGCACTGAAGAGGCCCAGGTTTCTTTCTTCTGGATCATCAGAGCATCCATGGAGCCCACCTGAGGTCACTGCCCAGCTGGCCCCTCCACCAGTGGCATTTGGGTAGTGATCAGACTGTGGCTTTGGGAGCTGTACAAGGCTCACTCCCAGTCTTGACTTCCTGAATATTTTCCTCTTTCTTCTCCCTGTTGCTTCTGTGGCTTCCCTGCTCTGAAAGCAGTCTGGTGGCCCTTTCTTCCAGCCATCTCTGGCAGCCATGCCAAACAGGAGCAGGGCACAGGGATGCCCTGGAGAGGGAGGGCTGCCAGCTGGCTTACCCCAGGGAGAAGGAGGAGAGAAGGCCAGGAGCTGCTCTCCCTGCAGCCTGGGGAGAGCCCTGTTGCAGCCTCAACCGGACCACCTGGGCAGAGGGATCTGCACTGGCTTTGAAGTAGCCTTGCTTGGGACCTGCACATCAGCTCTGGGGACCTGAGCATCTAAGAATAGGCCTTTCTGCCCTTGCACACCCCTTTGCACAGCTCTGTGCTGCTGCTGCTCCCACATTGAGCTGCGGTGAGCAGCCTGCACCTTTCCAAACCAAAGAAACTTGCATTCAAGCTAAAGAAGCCAACAGAAAAACCCCCATTAGCTCAAGGACATTTTCACTGGGGTCTTTTAGGTGCAAGTTCCACTCAATGCTCAGTGAGGCTTCCCTTCTGCCACACCTGAGTTTAGTGTCAAACTCCAGCTGCGCAAACAGTGAAAGTTTTCCTGCCTTTCGTTCTAGTTTGGGAGCTGGTGGTTATTTGTTGAACTAAATTACAGTATTTCCTTTTAGGGTTCTCCCACCTCAAAATGCCTATACCACCAAGTTACATTGACAGTCATTTAAATCATCAGATGCATATTTGAGTTATTATAAACAAAATTCCTGCCCCTGCTGACCCTGTCTCACTGGAAGTCCTAGAACTATATTTCCTAGAGCACATTTATATAATGTCAGATTAATGTCAAATACAAAAAAACCACAAAGAAAAAAGTGTGCAAGGGGCTACAACAGATTAAACCCCTCTTCCCAAATAACTATAGTGACACCGTACCTTGAGCAGCAATTTCCTGAAGTTCCTTCAATAAATTTTGGTGGCGAAGGATCGAAATGATTCGTTCATCTGCAATAGAGGAGACTTGGTACAGAAGATGGTCAAAGACAACCTCCCCTCCAGCCCCAGGAAACGAAAAAGAACCCAAACGCCACCTCCCTTTTTGTTTGCTCTTTTCTCTCCCTTGCCCTGATTTGTTGCCACATCTCTTAACTGTGTGGTTAAGATGTCAGGAAGGTCCCATGCAAACCAGGGAGCTTCACGTCATCCAGCACTCCCCTGGCCACAGTGCCGGCGTGATGCATGGCCTGGGCTGAGCAGCGGCTCTGTACCTGCTTTCGGGGCCTGATGCAGGCCAGTGGGGTGACCATGAGGAAGGCGAGTGTGTCAGGGACCCCTTGTCAGGGCAGGCCCAGCCCCTACTTAGCAGATCTGCTCTTGCTGAGACCCAGCGTTAAATCTGAGCCTGTACCTCCTCTGAGTGTTTCTAGGCATTCCTCGCTGATAGGCAGAGGGTTTGGCTTCGATAAAGTATCAGAGATGACCTCTACAATGCACTTCATCACCTAGAAAGAGACAAAAATAAAAAATAAAGCACTGCTTTTTTGTCTTTTTTTCCTATATCTATTTGTTACCAAGGCTAAAATGCAGCAGATGATGGCACAGATCTTGCTTTTCTGGTCGAGCCAGAACTGAATGTTCAGTTCCTGTTTTACGTAACACAGGAACAGAAGGTACCTCCTGAAATTAAGAAGTGAGCAAATGACACACGGCAATGGAAAGAGCTTCTTCAACATGACGCACACTTCAGCTGAGAATCTCACAACTCTGGCCCATCCCAGAGACCAGGCACATCAGGAGATTAAAGGGAATCTGGATATATACATAGAAAGCTCAAAATCATCCTCTTTTAAGTCAATGTATCTCAACCTGCATCTCATAAAAGGGCTCAGTGGGAGGCTGTAGAGAGCAACAAGTGGTCATAGCTCTTCAATAGGTGACCTTGAAATCTTGCAAGCTATTCAAGCCCTGAGAAGAGCACCATAGTTAGACTGCAGCCAGGCATGGAAGGCAAGGTGAGACAAATTGTACTTTCAAACACAGATGAGAAATACTGCTCTCAAGCCCCAGAGAAGGACAAGACACTCTGGAGAAGTGTTTGACCTTGTGCTTGAGTATTCAAGCCATCTATTATAGACTGGAAGAGCTGTACACAGAGGGACGTCATCTGAAAGCAAGGAAGTTCCCACACTTTCCTTGGAAGCATTTGCAAGTGCCTGAGGCAACTTCCCAGACAGGATGAACTCTGAGCCTGCCCTTTCCAGCAGCCCTTTTCTTCGGTGTAAAATGAGAAGCATTATTTATCTAGTTTGTCACCTGTACTGAGGTTGCAGAACTAGCTCTTCACCCATGCAACTGCAGCACCACTGATCCCACAGGGATCACCCAGTGAAAATGAAAGCCACAGGCGCAAAGGCAAGGTCGCACCGCTGGCAGGGGTGAAGGCATCCTCGCCACACTGAGGCACACCACCAGGAGCCCTGCTGTGTGCTCGTGGTAGACCCAAATGGTCGCACAGGAGAGAAAGCAGCATTCACTCAGTCTGGTGGCAGTTAGTAGTGCAGGAATCAGACTGCTTAGTTCAAAAGGATGATTATTTCTAAAGCAGCCTAGAAAGTATGCAGGGCTCACAAGTGCCTATGGAAAAAGAGAGGCTAAAATGAAAAAAAGAATACAAGTAAGCCATGGAGGCAAAAAAATAATTGACTGAACCTCTTTCTCCTGATGATTTCTGCAGGCAGCCCTAAGAGCCCTGACCTCCCTCACAAGGTGCCATTCTCAGGGGAGCAGAGCACTGCGGCTGCAGTAGAAATTAAACACAAGTCAGCAATTCCCAGTTATCTACAACGTTGCTCATTCAAGCAATTGGATATATTCATTGACCAGCTGGAATGGGCAAATTTTTGCATGTGTAGGGAGAGAATTCTGCTTTTGCAGGTCACAGCCATAAAATGCTGAATTCTTATCACTGCTTACACAGTTTGAAGGGATTGCTTGCTGGATTAAAAATGTTACAGGAAAGATCTAACAAAAAGAAGGCAACAAAATTTCCCTGGTACCATTAATATTGATTTTAGATGACTTTGAGTCACTTCACTCTACCATCAAATAGAACAAACCCCTGATTCTGATACTTCCTTCCCATGTTTCCCAAGCTCTGGAGCCACTTATTGCAGCAGCATTTGATGCAGCTTCAGAAGTAAGGACTTTCTTAGCATGAGAAATAAGAACCTGGTCCAATCCTCTATACAAGCTTTTTTGAAGACTTCTAAGCTGATTTAAAGTCTTTGCCTGAACACAAAGAAACACATCAGTCACCACAGAAATATGGCCAACTTTGTGGACGAACCTTGTAATATAATGAAATGAAGAGTGCTGTCATTCCACAACACTCTCCTTGACTTTTTGTAAGAGCAAGTCTTGCAGAGTGAGGCTTCACAAAGTCATGAAATAACACCCTGCAGCAGGAAATGGAGGCGATCTTTTCCAAATGAATGTAATTAATCCAGTGCAGAAACTCAGACTGGAATTTTGCCATCGCTATCCTCTAACTGTGAGCGGGTGACTAGATCCTTAAGAGCTGCTCATGCTGTTCCTACACAGAAATCTCCAAAGGGTCATGTCCTTACAAGGATAGACTTCACCATGTTTGAGATAGGCTATGCTCAAGCCCTTCCGAAATGTATGCTTCTAAGTGGGAAATAGTGTCATTCCAGCATAAGTGTGGGCAAACACCAGAGATATTGTAAATGCTTTGGTCATGTTCAGCTCCCCATGGAAAGCCCTTGGTGTAAGGGAAGTCTGATGAGCTGCCCAGGAAAGGCCTGCAGGTGCTGACTACCCATTACACAGCCCTGAGAGCCACCCACAAATGCTGGTGGCAGAGAGCATGGTGTCTAGGAATTGCTGTGGTGCTCACTGCTGTACCCGTGTAATGGTATCTCTGCCCTTACCTCTCCTGTGAGACCAGCACTTCCTTCACTGAGATGCCGTGTTTTAGAGGATGGTGAAAGCCAAAAAGCCCTGATGGCTCTTTCCATTTCAGTAAATTCAGAAGAAAGGTGTGCTCTGATTTTTCTTTCAGCTAGAGCCTGTGTCAGTGTAGTACCCGGGGAGGGGGCAGGCTTGGGAGAGAATCCTTCCTTGGTGGGAGCATTTCCATGGAGTTGCACCAGCTTCCACAAAAGTGCCATGTTTTACACACAGAACACACTGGGGAATAGATCTCACAAGGAAAATTGTGGAATTAATGGATTGTCCTGCCAGTTGGCCAATGAGCATCCCAGCCTAGCACAGAGATATGAAGATGCAAGTGCCTGCCCTGAGTCTCCTTCCTCTGTTAGCAGCACATAGCCTGGAGCAGGCACCCAGTGGCTCACAGCTCATGGCTCAGCCCCAGCAAGGGCTAAGCAGGCTAAAAGTCTTAACAAAGCAACAGCTCTCCAGGCCCAGGCACATCTGACAGGAGATGGGGAGGAGTTTCTCACAGCACTTGCCCTGTAGGTGACAGGCAGAGACACTGTACAATGGAGCCTGTGCCTGAGACTGATGTGAATGTGCCCTCTCCTACTGCTGCCTAGGGAAAAATATTATGTGGCTAGAAGATTTCAGGAAACAAAGTGGTTCAAGAAGTAAGGGGAAAAGGGCTGGAGTTTCCTTTCTGGACATCAATGTCTGCAAAAGGCTTAAATTGGGCAGCTAAGAGATCAGCTCATCTGAAAGACTATAGGTATCATAGTATCAGGAAGGGGGAGTCTATCGCAGATCAACACAGGCAAACACACCTATCCAAGCTTTAGGTGCCAAAAGCTCGTTGGGAGTGCACACACTTGCAAAGTGCAGCTATGAATGGCAGAGAGGTAGGGCACAGATGTATACATGGAAGCCTATAAAAGGCAGCTGGAGAGGTCAGCCAAGTCCCACACTGCTTGTAGCCATCCAGACAGGCTGAGCAGTAGCTGAGGATGGATTACTAATCTGAGAGTGGCCAGTTGCCTATTTTTCAGGATCATGGTTTAAGTAACACACCACACACATACAAACATGGATGTATACAACCCCCAAACACACACAGTTCCAGCAATGCCCATTCCTGAATCACTATCTCCCCCCACTCTCCCCTGAGTCACCTCCTGTTGGGAGCTTTGAAAAGCTGAAAGTAGGAGGACTAGGGAGGGCTATATTCAACCTCCACCCCCAGCCTCACCATTCTCTAGACAAGCTGCTTTGATCCCTCTGGTACATCCTGAGGGACTTCCCTCCTGCCCAGATGCCCAGAAGTGGAGGCACAAAAGGTAAATCCTGGTAGGAAGGAAATGGGGCTGGATACTGCTGTAGGGATCCCATGCAAATCCCTG